ATGGTATGATGCTTGTTGACGTTGTCTGCTCCTGTAACACCTGCCGCATTGCTCCTGACGATCATATGGTTTTCTGTGGCTAGCTAATAGATCTAAAACTAATTATTGGAAAACGCATCTAATGATATGCAGTAAACTAATCTGTAAATGATTGGAGATGCTAGCTAGCAAATGCGGTGCGGTGCCCCAGTGAGAAATTGATCTCATCTCCCTGGGGCAGCGTGGATGGAACCTAGCTGGAACCGAGGATCGATCGACGTTTGTCTACAGCTCTGATACCATGTGGAAAAATCTAAACTGTTATATTCTGATGTTTTCTGATCTATTACATCGACCATCTCATGGGGTATATATAGGAGTACATAGGGGATAGAGACTTAGAGTACAATACAAGTAAGAGTAGATTTATCTCTAGGATTCTATCTCTAGGACTCTATCTTATCTCTAGGATTCTATCTCTAGGATATATCTTATCTCTATAATTTATATTTGACTCTTATCTCTAACTAACATATTATACATCCAATGAAAAAGTGGACCAATAATTTCTCCATCAGAGGAAAATTAAAGTATGCATGAATGCCCACTGGTGATCGCTGGTGCTAACAAAGTTATAGGCAAAATAAGTTCATTTTTTCAATCAATTAGCGGGCCTCATCTCCATAGTCCTGCTAGAGGATTTGAAAAGCTATATCAGGAAGCCGAAGCCAAAGACCAAACAAATCGATCGAGGCAGCAGGTGTTTTTCAGTTACGTATATATACATATCTATCTATCTATCTATCTATCTATCTATCTATCTATCTATCTATCTATCTATCTATCTATCTATCTATCTATCTATCTATCTTTATATACTAAAAGTCCATTAAACTCCCTACAAACGCTCCTACGTTGACATGTAGCACTCCTACAAACGCTCATATACCGCCACGTGGCACTTTCATTTAAACCGGTGGACCCAATATTTTAACCTATTAAATTATTAATTTTCACCACTAAATCTTATATTGAAGAAAAAAATATGTATGTTTCCTCTCCGTTCACACGTTCACCTAATACGTTTCAAAAAGAAAAAAAATATGTTTGCACATGTATGTACGTACTCCCTCCGTCCCTTTCCATCTCTCCTATTTCCTATTTTCTAGCTAACAACCAATACATACTATAAAATTTTAATTAGATAGCTAAATATTCTCTTAGTATATATGCTTCTATATAAAAAATTATAATACGTCACTTAGATCTATATATCCTTAATCTTCAGTGGGAACTCAGAAAAAAATTATTGGGACATCAATTGGATATATATACCCTTCCTTTTGAGTGGCGAGCCCATAAAAAATATATTTGGGCACTACACCTACAAATTATTTAATTATATATTGATATATTAATTAACATGACATGAATTATTTATTATTATTACTGAAAGTCCATTAAACGTCCTACTAATGCTCCCAAGCTGCCACGTGGCTTTCTATAAACTTTCCTAAGCCACCACGTGATGCTCTTATAAAATAAAGTAAATATAAGAGATTTTGAGAAAAATATTGTCTTACCCAAACCGATGTACCATATTTTAAACTATTATATCTATATCTTAATAAAAAAAACCTATCGATCAATAAGACTGCCAAAGTCTCTATATACAACGCACGTATTTACTTCCCTCCTCAGAAGCTGTCGCCTCTTTTTTTTTTGCCCCGTACGGCAATTAAGTAAATCATAGGAAAAAAGAAAATCTTAAAAAATACCGCTGAAAAAATAACCACCTTATTTTTAAAAATAAAATTGGTGGACTCATTAATTTGTACCAACTTAATTGTTCAGTGGCGAACCCATAAAAAATTATGTTGGCACTACACATACAAATTATTTAATTATTGATTAATATATTAATTAATATGACATAAATTATCTATTATTATATACTAAAATTTCATTAAATGTCCTATAAACTCTCTCAAGATACCACATGGCTTTCTATGAATGTTCCTAAGCCACCACATGATGCTCTAATAAACTAAAGTAAATATAAGAGATTCTGAGAAAAAAAATCGTATTACCCAAACCTGTGTACCTTATTTTAAACTATTAGATCTATATCTTAAAAAGATTATTGATTGATAAGACCGTCAGATTTCATATGTACAATGCACGTATCCACTTCCCTCCTCATGGACGAGCATGTATCCACTTTCCTCCTCACGGACGAGACGAGCCCATAGGTTGTCGCCTCTTTTTCTCCATACGGCAATTAAGTTAACCACTGAATAAAAGAAAATCCTAAAAATTACCGCTGACAAAATAACCACCTTTTTTAAAAAATACAATTGGTGGACACATTACTATGTACCACTAAACATGTGACGACTTTCTACCAACTTAATTATTTCTCTCATCGTGTATATGAGGTCAAATAGGTAAAGCTAAATCAATCCACAAAGGTACAAATAAATCCGTCTACGAATTAAGCTCTTTTTAATTACTATCTTCTACCTAAAATGGATCATATAATTTTATAGGAAATAAGGAGGAATGAAAAAAATACTAAGAAGCCCAACAGGGGGTATTTTGCCCTCATTAAATAAGTTTCATTAAATAGGGGTAGTTGGAGAATTATAAGGTGGTTAAAGTAATATTGGGTAAAAATTAAATGAGAGATGGTTGGATGGTACGAGTAGTATTTATAATCCCTGATAATCTACCATAAAATTTAAATCCTTCGATTTATGGATGGAGGTAGGAGAAGCAAACAAGAGTAAGTGGGTATGTCTTAATTTAATAAATTAGATAAAGATATCATATTACCACATTTTTAATAAAAAATTTCTTAAACTAATATATCCTAATATCTAAAAAACATCTTTAGTATAAAAAATATATTATGGTTTTAATTAATATGATATTTTTTTAAAAAAATCTAAACACATGTAATATAAATTATAGTTTCATATGAACCAGCTCCATTCTTGCGACATATTACGACATGATTCAAGTAATTTTAGTTTACAATTTGTAACAACCTATCCTCTATAACAACACAGCCCAGCTCATCCAACTAGTACGCCCACTTTCAAATATCACCCCACTTACACTTTTGTTCTCACTTTGTGTAAAATAGTTAGCCCGAAAATGATATAGTTGAAGGGACAATGACTTACAAGTTGGTTGTACTCAAGCACACACAATGTTTATGAGCAACATAGGTCACATTTTTTTAAAAAAAAAACAAAGGCCACATTCTAAGAGAAGTAGGATGTCACAGACAACCGTCAAATGTCCCAACGTCCTCGTCGGTCCAACTTACCTGCATAGGTACGCATGCATGTAGACAAATGTCTAAAACCATGCCCCCCTCTTGGCCTCTTAGCGCACGTCCGTATGTCCAATGAACGAAACCAACTTTCAAAACAATCCCTAACAAATTATTGATAAATGCAGATATTTAAAAGTAAAAAAAGATGTATTTTTCAAAAAGAACCTATACATAAACATCATAACAAAATTTCAAACACCACTAAGTAAAAGTGTCTGCGCATATACGCGGGCTACCTTCCTACTTGGTAAATAAACTGTAGACCTGTAGTTGATATCGATGATGGCTAATGAAAGTAACGTCGATGGGTTTCAATCGCCGCGCTGATTAAAGATGAAGAGCGATCGGAGCCTGGTCGATTGGAGTGGGCCGATTCGTCGCCAATAAATCAGGATGTACTGACTGGAGCGGCCAGTGCGTTGCTGGCGAATTAGTCGATCTCATGCGCCGCGTTTCCTATCAGCTTTGCGTCCGCATCTGTTCTCTACCGTATAAAGAAGTTATTAGGATCATTTCCATCTGTGTTCTGTTATTAATACTCCATTCGTCTCAAATTATAGTCACCCCTTTTTAAAAAAAAATCAAACTCGATAGTTTTAACTAATAATCGTACTAACTATATCTATAATAAGTATGCATATTATGCATGTTATATCTCTAAATTCATATTTAAAATACTTTTATGCGATGCTAATTTCATATTTATTGGGATCATAGAAAGAAATAAAATACTAGTCAAAGTATATTATTGAATACTGTGTAAAAAAATTATAGGTATTATAATTTGAGGTAGAGGGAGTAGGATGTAAGATTGGTCATTAATTTAAAGAAAAAGAGTTTTGGATTTGTCAATATTAGGTGGAAACACTCACGGTGGTGGTAAGATGGGCTGGCCGCGGACAGCGAACAGAAAAGCGAACAGAAAACGACGAAAAGGCGCGCCACAGAAAAAAAACGCATTTTCTGTTTTCTTCTTTTCCTTCCACGCCATGGGAAAAGATCGACGTTTCATTTTTATTGTTTTTTCTGATCAGATATTTGTTCTAATTGTATTATTATTTTTTTGAAAAAGTTTCAGTGATATCAGTATTTTTTTTAAGAATTACACAGTATAATACAGACACACAACACATGCACACTCACCCCTATAAACGTACTCATGCAAACCCTACCCCTATGAGCAACTTCGAAGACAGAGCCGGCAAATCCATCTTGGAGTATTTTTTTTAATCTTTAGTAAAATTTATGCACTAAATTTTCAAATTATAGATATAATTCTTTGTAAATTTAGATATACAAAATTTACATATATAAAGTTTCTCTCTATATAGAAAGTGTATACATAGAAATTTTCCTAGTAAATTGTTCATTTAAAAAAAATCTGTCAACATTTTATTATTTCTAGTAAAATTTACGCACTAAACTTTCTAACTACAGATGGAATTTCTACATAAAGTTTACACAAAGTATATATATGGCATGCGTGTGGGATACATGTAGTCAATTTTGTCTACTATTATAATCTGACGGTTACATCCATGTCAATAACAAAGGGAATACTAATATTAAACGCATGGTGTGAAATTAGTCTGTGTAGTACGATAAATTGCAAGGGTTTCGACAGAAATTAGCACCACTGAATTCCATTCCACAACATCACGCGTATTTTGTTTTGCAGATATTGATGAGTGCAAGGAACCAAATAAGTATATTTGCTATGGAAAATGCAGAAATAAAGATGGAGGCTCCGACTGTACTTGCCCCTTCGGTACACGAGGCAATGCACACACCGGACCATGCGACGGAGGGCTAGCTATCGGTACACAAAAACTTTTTCAATTAATCTCGCATTGTTTAGATATATATGTTTGAATAAATTATGAAGTTCTTGCATTTATACTAACATGGATCCATATGTTTATCTTTTGTTGTCACTACTTATCGCCTAATTCCTCGTCGATTTATTTGCGTTTAAAATGTTTACCTATCTTGACAGGAATTTGTGCGTCCCTTTTGGTTACTCTAACTATTTTACTTGGGATAGAATGGTTCAGATATAAACAACGAATCATAAGAAAAGACCTCATGAGACAGAGGGAAGAACTCATGAGACAGAGGGAAGAGTATTTTCATCTACGTGGAGGCCAATTGTTAAGAAATATGATGAGCAGAGATAACAACATTCCATTTATGTTGTATGACCGAGATCAAATTGAGTCGGCGACAAATGGGTTCGACAACATGTTAGTAATCGGTCAAGGAGGTCAGGGGACTGTTTATAGGGGATGTATTAATCTTCATCCAGACAACCCTGTTGCAATCAAGAAGTGCAAGGGATTTGATGAGGATAGTTGGGCAGAATTTACAGATGAGCTGCTCATACTTTCTCGAGTCAACCATGAAAACATCGTCAAGCTTCTTGGTTGCTGTCTTCAGTTTGATGTTCCAATTCTTGTCTACGAATTTGTCCAAAATAAGACTTTGTACAATCTAATCCACATCCAAAATGATCCATCCATCAGAACACTGGAGATCCGCCTAAAAGTTGCTGCTGAGTCTGCTGAAGCACTTGCATATCTACACTCATCAGTCGACCACCCTATCATCTTACATGGGGATGTCAAGTCCACCAACATACTACTCAACAAAAATTTTATCGCAAAGGTTTCCGATTTTGGGTGCTCTAAAATTAGGACCGCGGATGAGAACTATGATGTGGTGAAGGGGACAATGGGATATCTAGATCCTGAGTATCTTCGGAACTTCCAGCTCACCGATAAGAGTGATGTTTACAGCTTTGGTATAGTTCTTCTTGAGCTCTTAACCCGGCGAATGCCATTATCCGTGGATAAGGTCAGCCTCGCGTTAATATTTCAAGAGGCCATGAGAGAAGGCCACTTCCTTGAGCTCATAGACGCAGAAATATTGCACGAAGATAACATGGGATTGATAAGTGATCTGGCAACTCTAGCAAGCCAGTGCTTAATAATGACTAGCGAGAGCAGACCAACAATGAGCACGGTTGCAGATGAATTGCGCCGGCGAATGGCGGGACAAGTACAACAAGACCAAGGGGTACTTACAGGTATTAGTTCTTCATTGGCCCTGATAGCAAGTTCCGGTGCAAACACATCGGAGTATTTCACAGGTGAACGATCCACAGATTATTACGACCTTGAGAGGGTGGCCTCAATGAACATAGAATTTGCTAGATGACCGCACAATTACTACATGTTTTGTTGTTCCATTGCGAGTGCTTCTATTTATATGCCAATAACATTTGTCTTACTGTATCTCCATTTATATAGTAGCTATAGATTATGTTTGTTACGTAGTAGTATGTCCCTCTGAAAACTTTGTTGTATCACAAGGTGTGCCTAGTTAATATGAAGTAATCGTAAATATATCTTGTTTTCTTTAAGACTGGCGCATTGATCCTCTCGTTTATCCAAATAATCTCTATTCGCATCCATCTGCTGCCTTGGAGAATTGCATCAGACATGAGAGGAACTTCTCATCGACAATATGTTACCATTTTCCCCCTCTAAATAAGTCGACAACTTCCATGTTTGGAGCGGTTGTGCCATTGAGTGTCGTGTGTCGACCTACAGGTGTCGTTTTTGTAGAACTTACATTTTGTTCCTACTATACATAAACAGAGATGGCTGCCGGTTGGAAAATCTTCATGTGTGTTGGATTTCCCAGCCAGCACCCTACAGGCGATACTGATGAGGAGGAATCAAAGGTACCGATTTAGGCTCGATGCATCCATTGGCTCAAATCAAGCCAATGCATCGGGGCGTGGCTAATGGGCGATCGATCGCTTGGAGTGATTGATCCCCATGCCCCCCTATACACTTCTCTCCGATCCTCCCTTTCTTCTCTTCCTACTACACCATAAATTTTAAAAAAAATAAAAAATAAAGTTAGAAAAATTAATGTATAGAAATACTATATATAAAAAAATATTTAAATTCAAATTTAAATTTGAAATGGTTATGTAAACTTTTGACTTATAAACTTTGGGTCTATAAATTAATATTTGAATTCAAATGCAAATTTGAATCGGGTATGTAATCTTTTGACTTATAAACTTCGGGTCTATAAACTTTAGGTGTATAAACTTTAAATGTATAGAAATACTACATATATATATATATAAATATTTGAATTCAAATTCAAATTTGAATCAGGTATGTAAACTTTTGACTTATATAGGTGTATAGAAATACTATATATAAAATATATTTGAATTCAAATTCAAATTTGAATCGAATATAATTCAAATTCAAATTTGAATCGGGTATCTAAACTTTTGACTTATAAACTTTGGGTCTATAAACATTAGGTGTATAAACTTTAAATGTATAGAAATACTATATATAAAAAATATTTGAATTCAAATTCAAATTTGAATCGGATATATAAACTTTTGATTTATAAACTTTGGGTCTCTAAACTTTAGATGTGTAAACTTGAGGTGTACAAACTTTAGGTGTATAAATTTACTAAAATAGGAAAGTACTGCGGTGCTAAAAAGAAAACTAGGTGGAGGAGAGGAGGGCGACCCGATCGCCCCTAGCGAGCGATCGCCATTTAGGAGTTTCGAATGCATCGAGTAACTTCCCATCCCATATCCACATATCACCATCCATCCATCACTCCAATTAAAATTCAATATCGCAAATTTTGGTACAAATGAAGAATTTTGCATCACTGCAATTAAAATCCATTACACATATTATTTGCATGCATCAAAGGGAAAGAACAAGATAAATATATCAGAAACAAAATGGAGTCCATTTGCACGCCATAGAGTAAAATATGCACCCACTGTCATAGAGAAGTCCCTCCGCACCAAGCATCTGCCAGGCGCCATCACCGTGTGCCTCAATCCGCACCGTGCTGCTGCTAAGTGCCTCGATCCGTGCCATGCCACCACAGCCTGGGTGGGGATGCCATCGAGCACCTTGATCCACACCGCGCTACCGCCGCTCGGGTGGGAACGTCATAGCTACCGGGGTGGGGACGCCACCGCCGCAACTGTGGAACACCGCTAGCTAGGAGTAGTTAGTTGGAGTGAAAACACTATGGTTTCATCCGTGCCACCATCTGGGAGTAGTTGGGGCAAGCAGGAGGGGATGGGGGCAGCAACAAAGACGACAATGGCGATGATAGAGAGGATGGAGAAGAGGAGAAGGGCGAGGATGTGCTTGGGGTGGCACAGGTGCTCGGGGCGGCCGAGTTGAGGGCGGAGTTGATGTGGAAGAAGAAGGCGTGGGAGATGGCGATGTGAGCGAGTGCAACGAGATAGGATAAGGCCGGATGTGGACTGTGACTCGGTGAAGGTGTGTCAAAAGGATGGGCTTAGCTCGATCGGCTCAGTTTGTTTTATAGGTGCCAGTTTTTAAAGAATTGACACATATAATACTCTAGCACCTATATTTCCTCAAAGGTACCGGTTTCTTTTTATTTGTCCCGTGAAAGTGGGAAACGTTTAACAAGTGTCGGTTTTAAATGAATCGATAACTATGAACCGGCACCTATGTGATGTTCTGTAGTAGTCTTAGTGTTAATCACGCAATGTCACACATCTGTTTACACGGTTAGTTTTGTCTAACATCTTACACTCACAATGCCTTTTCTCATATTGAAAGTGTCAGTTACCCCACTACCCACTTAGATTGAGACTTATTAGGACGGTGAACAGGCGTGATTGAGGCCCACTTTGCACTCAACGTTGAATGGCCTTGTTGGGCCTGACGATGCATCGGATAGCGATTAGCTCCAAGAAGGGAATTTGCAAGCCCAAACCGAGCCAGAGCCGGTGAAAAAAATGCACCACCTCGATCAGGTTGCAGGAACCTCTGGTAGTGTGTACGCTTACGTTTGAATTTTTTCATAGTCGAATCTTGTTAAATTTGATCAAGTTTATAGTAAAATTGAACAACATCTAAAATATGAAATTAGTGTCATTAAATCTAAGTCAGTGGCGGAGCTAGGGCCCGGCCAGCGCGGGCAAGTGCCCGGGCTCTACCACTATGCAGCAGTTTATCCGCACTTAGTTACGCTGTTTAGTCACCAGCTAATCTGCATACAATAGTAGGTATAAAGTGGTTGATTACCATGCTTAACTAAATGCCTATTACTTTCAAGATAATTAATTCAATTTCACACCATCACAACTGAGATCTAAAGGCAAAATTATATAACTTTCTGGTATCAGTCTTTTTTCTTTCAATAAGATAGTACAAACTCCATAGTCTAACCTATATATCCATCGTCTCTTTGATATATTCTCGTACACTAGATTTCCTATCCTAAATTAGAACTCGATGACCGTCAATTTTACATACGTATATGATAAAAGGTATACATATTTGTATTGATTTATGTATACTTGTTTTTCGTTGTTAGACTTGCCCAGGCTCAAAAGTATTCCTAGATCCACCACTGAATCTAACCTAGTATATTTTCATAACTAGAAAAAATGCCCGTGCGTTGCAATGGGTGAAGTCTATTTTAATCTTATTATTGTTATATGGTTAAGTTAAAATGAAATTCACTGTGGGAGTTCGCTTGGATATATATAAATTTAGAAAATTATGAGCTGCAGTTAGGAGTCCGATCGTCTGAAGTTAGCATGCGAGTGTTTTTAAACAGATTTCCTATATGATTCCTTCTATATTACCAAAAGTGAATGGTCTTAAAAACCGACTCAAATATGAATATGTATTTCTAAAAGAAATCGAACTTAAAAACCAACTCATACACGGATGACGTACCAAAATACCGGCAAAAACATCTTTAGTTTTTATAATACTAGAAAAAATGCACGTGCGTTGCAACGGGTGAAGTTAATTTTAATCTTATTATTGTTATATGGTTTAGTTAAGATGAAATTTACTGTAAGAGTTCGCTTGGATATATATTTTTAAAAAATCATGAGCTGCAGTTAGGAGTTCGATCGTCTCAAGTTAGCATGTGAGTTTTTTTAAACAGATTTTTTATATGATTTCTTCTGTGTTACCAAAAGTGAACGATCTTAAAAATGACTCAAATATTCAAAAAATGACTCAAATACTAATATGTATTTCCAAAAGCAAATGGACGTAATAACTGACTCATACACGGATGATGTACTGAAATACCGGTAAAAACATCTTCAATTTTTACAACATTAGAGACTAGAAAAAATGTCCGTGCGTTGCGACGGGTGAAGGCTATTTTAGTATTATTATTGTTATATAGTTTAATTAAGGTGAATTTTATTCGGGGAGTTCGCTTAAAATCATGAGCTGTAATTAGTGTCCGATCGTCAAGTTAGCATGTGAGTTTTTTTTAAAGAGATTTCCTGTACGACTCTTCTATATTTCCAAAAGCAAACGAACTTAATAAACGACTCAAATCCAGATATGTATTTCGAGAAGCAAACGAACTTAATAAACAACTCAAATACGGATATATATTTCCAAAAGTGAACGAATTTAAAAACCGCCTCATACACAGTGGTGTACCAAAACACCGGCAAAAATAACTTCAATTTTTATAATAGTAGAAATAAAGAAGAGATATAGATTAAAACCAAAATATAAAATTAAAACCAACTCAAAGACGAATGACGAACCGCAGAAACATCTTCAATTTTTCTAACCGACTCAAACACAGATGACGGACTGCAGAAACAGCTTCAATTTTTATACTAGTAGAGATATGTTTGTTTTGTATTAAAAATGCTATTATATTTTTCTATAAATTTGATCAAACTTTAAGAAATTTTACCTAAAAAAAGTTAAACGATTATTTATAATATGAAACGGAGCCGGTATTTGATACCAGGACGACATGGCGTCGCTCGATAGGGGGCATCACCAGCGTCACACGGCGGACATTCGGAACAGCTGTCGGAGTGGCATTCCTATGTGTACCTTCCCGGTGTCTACGGATACCTGGTAACTTATCTATTTTTAAGTTGTTTTAGTTCTTATTAATTAAAAATTAGAGGATTTTGAGTAATTTTTGTTCTGGTTCATCAATCGCTGAGAGAGAGTCGGCGTTTGACAGGTGAGAACGAGACGAGGGAACGTGAGAGATAGTGCGAGTTTGAGGACACAGGGACACAGCCATTAATTTCGCGTTAACTTGGGTGGTCTGGTACATGCTTCGGCCGGCTGTACTTCCGGTTTTTCTCATGATCCGGTAGCAACCAAAAAAACACGGACAGTTCTTTTAGAAGCAGCAATGATGAGACAAGTTCAAAAGGCCATTTTTGTAATTATTCTGAAGCAACAGCAACAAACTCTAGATGAATACAGGCTCAGCTCGCAGGGAATTAACCATGCGCATGCACAGATCGATGAAAATTAAGGGTGGTGTATCCAAACTCCAAAGCAAGCTCCGCGGGTCTTCTTTAACATTTTCGAGTTACGGCGACGATGTATATTTGGTTGGCAGAGAAACGAAATAGTATCGTGTCTCTTGTCACTGAGAATCATATATAATACTATCTCCGTCCGAAAATAAGTGCAGTTTTACACTATTCATTTTCAACGTTTGACCGTTCGTCTTATTTGAAAATTTTTTATGATTATTATTTTTATTGTTATTAGATGATAAAACATGAATAGTACTTTATGTGTGACTAATTTTTTAAAAAAAATTTATAAATTTTTCAAATAAGACGGACGGTCAAACGTTGGACACGGATTTCGACGACTGCACTTATTTTAGGACGGAGGCAAGTATGTAGAGAGACAGAGG